GCATTATTTTCCCGCCAACCTAATACTTATCGGATTTATGATTTGGCAGGAAAAGCGAGATTTCTTTTCTTGTAGATTTCTTTGAATGGATTCTCGAGCTAATTTCTCTTTTCTACCCACCCGTAACTGTGTGATTATTGTTTGAAAAGGCAAATTTTGTGTAGATGTGAGGATAAGTAACGAAAAAAGTTTTATTGTGGATTGTGTGGCTTTAAAAGTTGAGTTTTTCAGTTTAAAGTGCTTTGAATCTCAAAAGTTAGTTAAAAAAGAACGGTTTTAAAAACTTGTTAAGTCAAAGTCAAGGCCAGTCTTGTCCAAAGAAATTAAGTGAAGCAGACCTGCAACAAGCCACAACAAAATGAATAGCTCCAATCGATTCGTCGACCTCGAAAACCCCCGGGTACCGCTGAATATCTTTTTCGTACCATCTACAAAGCAAAAGAACAAAGCAAAAGAGTAATCCTGTAAATGACTTTCAAAAATTTAGCCAAATTTCAACATTTTCTTAAGAAATGACTGGGGAAAACGTTTGATATGCCTCGAAAAAGAAAAGCAATTTGCTTTTTTTCATTTCTAATCTCTGTCTAACATCTAGATACTTCTTTTAATGGATTTTAGCTAATAAAAAGCTATTTTCTTTTTCAATTGAATTTTAAATGCAAATTTATAATGTTAGCATGTTTTTGCAAAAACCTCCAGTCCCATTGTTTCAGCACGAGGGATTAACTTAGAGAAAATGGGGAAATGAATCACAGAGAAAAAAAATTATCCAAATAGCCTTCATCCTTGAATCACAGTTCGATAACGTCTCGATCTTCGCTGTTCTCGGTACACTCGCGATTTTAATTGAAGAAGTCCCCCTTGTGCTCGCGTCTCTCTACTCTACTAATAATCATCATTCCATTCCGAACCCTGACCTGACCTGATTCAACAACAACGACCCTGTGGTCACTTTCGTTTCATACATTCACTTACCATCTGATCTCAATTCCTCCGAAACTTCTCTACGATGACCACATTGTTTTGGTGGAAGTTCATTCTTTTGGCGATCTGTTAGCCGACTTGTCTACTATACTTGTTCTACATTTTATTCATGATGGTCAAAAGGTTTGGCATCCCAATCACCGTGCGGGAACAGTTGCGGCTGAATGTGAGTTTTGGAGAACCGATGAATTTGTAGTGTAAAGACAACTCTAGGATGTGATGAATGTGTCCCAATCATCGGAAGTCCAAAACTCGTAGTTCTTTGCAAAAGCATATCTTAGCTTCCGAGTTCTTGCATTCGTCAAGGGTCGTTTCGCTGGTCTTCTCGCATGTAATTCAGCTCGAATCAATCGCCTATTGAGACTCCATCGGGAAATATCCTTGCCAGAAACAGCCTTCAACTTCTTGATCCCATGGCTCGACGTTAGATTAGGGTTTATTCGGTGCTCCCTGATGATCGAACGATCCTCATTTGGTGTTGTAATTGGTGGTCGACCTCTTTTTGGGGCTCTATGAATGTTTCCTTTTGATTCGAATTGCGCCACGAGACGTCTCACTGTTTTTTCAGAACACTTGAACGTTTCCATCACATTCTTCACGCGAACGCCTTTTGTTCGATTCTCGACAATTTTCTCTTTGTCCGGCGTTGATAGATATCGTCCTGGCATCTAAAAAAAAATAAAATTAGAACCAAAAAGTTTATGCAGAAAGACAAGAAATACCAAAAAAAAAATAAAAAAATAAAAAACCGGTCAAGACTTTTGCACCATGTTTTTTTGAGTCGTTTCGGAATATTGTCAAAATTTTTTGTTAAATAAAATGTTATTGCTTTCATTCTTTGGATTATAAAAGTAGAAGGTTTAAGCTACCCAAAAACGTTTTTACCATAAAATTTTAACGTTCTTTTTCTACCGAAATGGTTCAGACTTGATAGGACAGTGCGACCGGTCAGGACTTTTGCACCACAGTGTATTGCACGACGCATTAGGAACAAACGAATCGCGCCGAAAGCGATTGACTCAGAGGATTTCCGCTGTTTGTTGCCAAGAGAAAATCATGCAATACCGGAGCCAGCTTCGATCATTGCACCGTTCGATCATTGCACCCAGGATCCTGCACCGTTTTGGAAGGATATTGCAACGAAGAACAGCAACGGAAGGGACACAACGTTGCATCAGTTACTGAGAGAAATCAGGTCTTTTGAACAATTGTTTATATATGGTTCCTGATTCAGGCGATTGCGAGATTAGTTGCCCGAAGTAATTTGCCATTTCAAGCGATTGACTCAGATGATTTCCGCTGTTTGTTGCCAAGAGAAAATCATGCAATACCGGAGCCAACTTCGGCCGTGATCAGATCAGAGCAGGATTTAAAAAGTAAGGTACTTTTTTATTATTTCTATTTGATTTTAGTATTAACTGCGGTGCGCATCTAGTGAACAATGCAGTACAAAAGATATTGGACATAGATGAAAAACAGCAATGCTTATCTCTGATTCGCTGCTTTTGTTGAAAAATGAGTCGTTCTGCTGAATTGTAGCTTAAATATGGAAGGTAGGTTTATTGCGTTGTTCTTTTTCATAAAATTTAGATTAACAAATAAGGCCACGACGTAGGCCACGACTTGACTTTGTTACAGTTGATAAAAAATCGAGTGAGTGATCATTTTGGAGTCATTTTCAAGTTTTATCTTCTAAACTCTCTTCAGGTGCTCGATACGGCCACATATTTGTCAATGGACGAGCTCGTGATGCGCCTATCCGACAGATATGATTTGTTTAGATCCCACAATCTTGTGTTCAAAGCACGTGTCCCAAGAAGTATTCTTCCGTCACTTGGTGGGTGGTTTGTAGTTTTCTTTAACTACTTAAACTTCAGGAGGCTGGTCACCGACCGTTTCAATCACATTTGTTGACCGGGTGATTGAAATGTGAAACGGGCGGTCGAAGCAATGGATTCCCGCTCCGGTCACCATGCTTGAACAACATCGGGCATATCATGGATTGGTGGGCGTTTTTGGACTGAGATTAAGATGCGATTCGTTTTAGGTGCTTGCTGGGAGTGAACTCTTTGTGGTTGGCGGGTTTGACGGCACCGACTATTTCCCACACACTCGCTCTTGCAACATGGACACTTTGGTATGTGTGTGGTACTTTTGCGCTTTTTAAGAAACTTTGTTTAGAAATGGGAGGATCGCGGAGCAATGGACGAGCATCGATGTTATGTTAGGGCTTGTGTATACGACAAAAATCACATCTTTGCGGCTGGAGGGTTAGTTTTTGTGCTGTTAAGCTTACTAACAACTCGTTTTAGTTTCAACAGAAGTACGAGGTTGTGTACAAAATAGCCGAAGTGTACAAAATACAGGAGAATCAATGGTGTCGAAGGGGCAAACGTGCAGCAAGCAAGGTAAGAATGTGTTTTTGGGTTCTTGCTTCTAATAAGAAAAATAACAGCTTCTTTCATTTCAGAGATCATCCGATCATTCCGCTGCTGGTGAAGTACGATGAAAGTGACGCGACCTTGTAGTTCTAGTTGATTCTTGACTTTCTTGTGCTACCTTTATTACATAAATTATATCGTGTTGCTTTCTAATAGTTCTTTTTGTTTGTATGTGTATGAATTCATGTATATTAATCTTTGCGCACTTTATTTCATGTCCTGCATAAAGTATATAAATATTTCCTAACAACCACCGATGTGCATCCGATCAAATCGAAACGCTTTTTACACGAATCTTCTCTCTCGAATCCTTTGTTGTATTTTTGACTTTTCCAACAGCCTCGCTTTGTTTTTTCGCTTATTTTCCCCAGTAATACGCTGATTAGCTCGATTTCTCGATTAAACTCCTCATTTTCCCCCGCCCGCCAAGCTCTTCTAACAAGCTATTGTCAAAGTCAAAGCCTAAATAGTCTGCAAATGACTGGCGCGGTGTTCTTTGTGTTCGAAAAAGATCGAAATTTCCACCTAATTTCGTAGGTAGTTGGAAAAGGTGAAATGAGGTGAAATGGAAAAGATTCTCTCACAACCAATAATACACCGTCCGGCTAATTGTACCGTAGTCGAGAGTAATGTTTTTCGATTCCACCACAAATTTACCCGCGTGCCCATTGGCAATCGGGCAGATTAGTTCGGAATTTGTGCTTTATACAGCCATATTACAGCCAATCTATTCCCATTTCATTTCTAGAGCCTGTAAAAACTCGACCACCATGAGGACTTCTTTCAAATTGGACCTGTTACCGGAAATCCTCAAAAATGAAGTATTAGATTGTGTTGAGATTTCTCCATCACTTCTCCTTTTACGAGTGAACAAACAATTCAGAACTCAAATTCTAATCCGAGGCTCGTATCCACGAAAGGTGAATTCTATTGAATGTTTTTTTTTCAAGGACAGTGAAGAAGAGGGTTCGGATCGTTTCATTCGGCCGCTTAACGTTGTAATCTGGACTACACAAAAGGTTAGTTTTAGCGAGCGAGCTATTTATGACGAGCCAAAGACTGTCGTTTGTCAACCCTTACCAATCATACCGATTCGTTCTTGTCGAGAATTCTCCATTCGGCGTATTAGCTACGAGGATGAATCAAATGACTCGAATACCTCGTTTTTTCACCTTTTTCCACAACTTCATAGTGTTAAATGTTTTACAATGTGGGTATCCAGACCCCGAGAATATTTCGATTTCTTTCGTCAATTTCCCTCCATTTCTATCAATAACTTTGATCTTTCTCATCCTCTAAACGTTGAAGAGGAAACTTATATCGAAATTCTGTCAGGAATGATCGAGACACGACTCTCGAAATGTCATTTTCTTTCTTTCTTCATTAATAATTTTCCAAACAACCACTTTTGGACTGCTCTTTCCAAATCTTGTGCCAAACAAATAACCCTCTCAATCCAAAATCCCGAGATATTGATCAAGGTGTTGGAGGAAACAAAGGTGAAATGGATTCCAGGTCGCGAGGGGACGCTCCGTTTGATCCATCGACCCTGCGAGAAAACACCACCGATAGACGAGATTTTATGTAAAGTGTTTGCCGGAATTCGATCGTTGAAGAAAAATGATGACGAGAAGTTTTTTGCTGCGAGATTCAGTGAAACGAAAGGAATATTTTGGAAAGTCAAGCTCGAGCCCTCGTACGAAAAGGGGAAGATCAGAGAAATGGAGGTGAGAATGAGGATGATGACTCAATCAGAACTAGCGAGAAGAGGATCCTCTTATCAAATCCGTGCGGGAACTCTTTTCAATTCATCTACAAAATCCAATTAATGGACTTGGTTTGGTGTCTCTCCTTGTGTAGACTGAAAGAATTGCAGCCCAGATTTCTTTTGTTGGATTTGATGTACGAGACGGGACAATGTCTTTTGTTTTATTACTCTCATTTGATATTTTATCGTATTATTATAATTTTATTTTATGATCGTATCAATAAATTATTCATATTTGATATAAACCAATCAGACATCACAAGACGAAAGGATCTATGGGACTCTCTGAATGAAAAGAAGTATCACAAAGTATTTCTAGAGTTTCCTTGTTGATCATTTGTTGACATTCGAATGTCTTTTTCAAATCCCTTTTTAAGAAGACCTTGAATGTCTTCTTAAGAAGGGATTCTAATATTTTCTTCGAATGTCAAATGTTATTGCTAATTTAAAAAATTACCCTTAAAATTTCAAAATGAAGAAAATGAGAAGATTTGAACCCGTTTAATAAAATCTCTAGATTTTTAAATCTTTAAAATCTATGTCGAAAATGAGGAAATTGGAACAATGTTTAACGAAATCCATAATCTTCAAAATCAAAATTGTATTTTATCTTGTCCCTATTATGGTATTGTATTGTAAATTTTATAACTTATAATACCCAAGAAATTTATTTGAATCCCAATAGCACATACAGCATAGCAAGCAGAAAAAGCAGAAAAGCAAGCAGAAAAGCAATAGCAAGGAGAAAAAAATTTGAGTAAGTTTTGCCTTTACTTCTTTGGCCTTCTTTGCCTACTCGGTATGCTTGCGATCTTCTCAGCCAGATCCAAAAGTTACATCCGGCACGCTATAAAGGGACTTCTTTCCCTCGGAATCCTTCTCAGGCTCGTCCCATGTTGAATTGAGTAGTAGTTCCTAAGGATTTTTAATAAGAACTCGATGATTTGTTTGAATGACATATATATGGTGAATCACACACAAAATCATACTCACAAAATGTTTTTGTTAATTGAAAAACGTCACAAATCACTGACCATTTGCTTAAAGTTGAGCCTCGTCCTGTAATCGTATCTCAGAAATCCTTCCAACATGGTTTGATGTGAGAAGCAGAGCTAAAACTTTATTTCATTAAACAAAGTGCTTTTAATTTGACCTTGTATCCAGAGAAAGTGGCTTCCAGATCAATTGTATCTTTTAAATTGAAAAATGAATTCAACGCCTGATAAAAAAGACTTCGATCATTCCCTTCAATTCGTCCCAAAAACTAAAAATATCAGCTTTGAAGTACTCTAAATGATTCATTTTAATTGCTTACCTTTTCGCCAAATGTAGCCTCATAAAGAATAACTCCAAGGGACCATATATCCGTTGCAAAGAAGGCAAATGGACCCTCTTCCTTTAGCACTTCTGGTGGCATATATCTAAAACAGAAATACAGAACTGAGATGAGATGTAAAAGGTGAGGATATTAATGCATTAGTAGGGTTTGTTTATGTATTCTACTTGAAGCAAGTTAAAGTCGCTGTTTAGGTGAAGTTCGAAGGACTTTGCAAGTACATCAAGGACATGCTCGAAAAGAAAGTCGAGAAAGTCACCATCTCTAACCGTCTCATCAATTCGCCTTGTTTGATGCGTGGTCACCTCTGAGCACGGATGGTCTGCCAATATGGAGCGGTATGTGTGTTTAGTTCTCTTAAATGGATTATATTTTAGGATCATGAAAGCTCAGGCTCTTCGTGATTCAACAACGATGGGTTACATGGCTGGCAAGAAGCACCTTGAGATCAACCCCGAACATGCAATCATTGTGTAAGTTGCAATTTTCACAATAAGACTTCCCTGGTTAAGGAATCTGCGTGATCGGGTTGAGGCTGACAAGAGCAACACGAGCAAGAAGACTTCAAAGGATCTAATTGTCCTTCTCTACGAAACCGCTCTGCTTTCTTCTGGCTTCACTCTTGAGGATCCCGGTCTCCATGCCACTCGCATCTATCGCATGATCAAGCTTGGTCTCGACATTGGAGATGATGATGGGGACGCAATCACTGCTGAAACTCCTTCCACTTCTGAGCTGGTCTATCTTTGTAAAATTATTGCTTATTTTTGATTTTAGGTTCCGAAGGTCGAGGGTGCTGACGAGGAGAAGAGCCGAATGGAGGAAGTCGATTAAGACGGTTCACTGTGAATTCTAATTGTATATATACTTTATCCGACAAGGAAAAGTGACAATGCAAACAGATTGAACAGCGTAGACGAAGAAAGATAATTGATATACAAACACAACTACAATTAGACACGTGTATATATGACATTAAAAACTAATTTAAAATTGACAGAGCTACAAGATCGAGCTTATATATTGAGGATTTAAAATAGTTCAGAGACGAAAAAATATCACAAGGTAACTTATTCCAAATACGAGGAACACGACAAGCAAAAGAATGAT